ATGGCAATGATTCCAAACACACAGCCAATGCAGTAAAAGCATACCTGGACAGACAATGGAACACCTTTAGTCATGGACTGGCCTCCCAGAGCCCCAGACATCAACATTATTGAAGTAGCATTGGATCATTCTGACAGAAAACTGAATAAAAGTCAGCCACCATCTAAAAAAGATCTTTGAATATCTTTCAAGAGTCTTGGAGAACTATTCTTGTAAACTACTTAAAGAAATTACAAGAAAGCTTACCTAGGAGGGCTCAGTCTATGTTGAAGAATAGAATCATACTAAATATTTATTTTTATATAAACTCTGCTTTTGCTGTACATACTTCAACAAACTGCTACACTTACTTCCTATATTCCTGTCAAAAAATGAGTTTGGCACAGTACTGTAGTTCAAGATGATGGACAGATGATAAAGAACAGGAAGACATTTAAACGTTTTCAATCTTGCATTAGGTGCCCGAAGCTTTTCAAAAAGGTTAACTCTTCAGGTGTTTACAGAGTCAGCTGTGTTACAAGCGGTATTGATTTCCTCTCTATCCCACAACATCAAGCAAAATAAAAAAGGAAGATCATCTCGTGTGACAAAGCGTAGCAGCCTGGAATTATCTCCCTTGAATGTGCAAGCACAATGCCACACAATTTCATGAATTAGTGAGATAGTTCAGTACATGGCATTCAAAAACTAAATTAAAAACTGGGATTAAGATCCCATATTTTAAGTAAAATGGTGGTGCACTAGTAAATCACAAAGTCAAAGCATTTGGAAATGAAAGCATGTGTTTCCTAATATATATGAAAATGACTAAGGAAAAAAAAGGAAAGTGAAGGAGAAGCAGGCTTGCACTTCTTCCACACTGCCCTTTCTGCTCATCTGTTCTCAGAGACACTTGTGGTAATAAATCAAAGCTGTGCAGACAGGCCATGGTGGAGAAGAATCTTGCTGTCCTTTTCCTTCCTTACCTATAACCTCTGACTTTGGTTTGACAAAACTATCAGAAATCTGACATTATCCACGAAACAGACAAGACTATGCTCGTTGTGGATCGGGTGATATTTTGCTAACAGGTTATACTCCAGCACGACAGAAATTCAGCTGTTATGAGAAAGTGGAAAGCACAATGGTAGACTAGTTTACTAGTAGTATCCTAACCAGTTAGGCTAACATTATGTGTCTCTAGCCCCTGAATTCAAACAACAAGGCCATTTCACACCAGCAACAAGAAATTCAGCACAGATGTTTTTCATCACAGATTTGTTTGCTTTAGTCACAAATGGCTAATGTCATGGAACGGAGACATGAGCTGTGTGTGAAATTCCACCCCTATTTAAAATGCACTGCACGGCTTGTTTTCTGACAATATCCACTATACTACTATAATGTTCTAAAAAAAAATTCTACGATGCACTAAAAAGCTGAAATGTAAGTTTACTGCTCACTATTGATTGAAATATCGATTGTCCATTATATGAAGAGCAGCATGTGAATGAATAGGGGGTGATTTTCATCGCATTATATTGTTACTATGGGTGGTAATAAACTGCTTCAGAGACAGTTCAGAAATGAGATAGCTCATTTAAGAGTCATTTCCCATATGGGTGTCACGTGGGTTTCAACACCACCCTACACCCGTAGGATACCAGCAGGAGATTATGAGTTTACTCCTTCCAATGTGAGAAGTGAACTTGAGCACAGATTCTTCACAGTTCTTTCCAACTAAGCTTTTTTCTTTGCAAACTAATAGTCCTGATAATTATTAGCAAGCACTAATATCTTCGTCAATTACATGTTTTGTTTTGTTTTTTTTAAACACAAGCCAATACACTTTCATCCACTCTCACAACACTTTTGACCACGCCTATTTAGGGTTCAGGAAGTGTATACCATTTTCACACAATTTCACACCGGTTTGTACCGGTTGCAATTAGTCATGTTTGCTCCGTCATCTCTGACTGCTTGTACCAAGACATATGGGCTTGTTTGTTTTTTTTCTTTTAAACTGCAGCACAGCCTCTCTTATCTCCACATCAAATCAACAACAACATAAAAGAAGGCATTTTTTTAAAAAAATCATAGATATCACACTGTTCTTAATCATGTGAAGAAGATAAATAACAAGTGCTGGTTTCACAGAAGGATGTGTTTGCTGTGGTGTTAGACTTTTACCGCTTTGACTTTTACACCGAGAGGTGTTGCTGGCGTTTCCTAAGAGTTTTAGAACAATATTGAAAGAGCGATGCTAAAAGAGAGTGTTGCTGGGTGAGTACATCAATCCAAAACACTCTGCAGTCTGTATAGTTCTGTATAATAGCTGGTGGGTATGTAAAAGGCGAATATATAAAAAAATGATAAGACATACACCTGTAAGGCAATGCGATGTAGTGTGGTAATAAATTGCTTCGTAACAATAAATGGTGTATGTGGTGAGAATTCAACTTTTCTAGCTTCCTCTAGCACAGGGGTGGGGAACTCCAGGCCTCAAGGGCCGGTGTCCTGCAGGTTTTAGATCTCACCCTGGGTCAACACACCTGAATCAAATGATTAGTTCATTATCAGCCTCTGGAGAACTTCAGGACATGTTGAGGGTGTAATTTAGCCATTTAAATCAGCTGTGTTGGATCAAGGACACGTCTAAAACCTGCAGGACACCGGCCCTCGAGAACTGGAGTTCCCCCACCCTTCCTCTAGCATAAGAAAATCACAATTCAGTATGTGAGATGAAACAGTGACGCATGAAATAAATGCACTTCTGATAATAAAACCTCATTTCATTTTTTCTTAACAATTTAATCCCCAAAAGTTGATTCTGTTCATCTGGACGATGATTACGTTCCTTTGGGGAAGTAAATCCCCAAAGGAATGATTGTTAACGTCTTGAGGATGCATCAAGACGTTAACAATTTAGTGTATTTTATGAATTCTATAACAACATTTCACAAACTCAACAGCCAATAATGCATTTGTCAAGAAGAAAGAGCTGTTGAGTGGACCAACAAGCAATATAGGGTATAAACTGGACACAGGGAAATCACAGGTGACATCTAGTATCAGCATTTAACCCAGTTCTGACAATTAAAAGGTTTAACAAATATGAAGGTGGTTCTACATTGCTGGCATGTGTACTTTCCTACCCACCTAGCAGCTTATCATGACACATCATGAATGCCAGACTGAAAGGTTTGCCTAATTAAAGACAAACACAAGGCCTGACTGAACCATCCGATTGGTCTGTAAGCAAAAGAAAATACAATATTTTTTTTTATCAGTATAGATTTCACAACTATGACTGTTTAATTAGCAACAGTATTGACAAGTGTATTTGTAAACTTCTCACAGCTATGACAAATACACCTTTTGAGTTAAGCACTTTTCTTAACATATTGCTTTTAATTTAACTTCTGCCTCTATGCTCAGTTGATCTTTTTTAAAAGCCTTGTTAAAATCAATGGTCTCACTTTTTTTTTTTAAATCCTTTTTCCACACTTTTTCTTTTTAATCTAATTTTTTCAAAACAAAGCACACGAGTAATGCTTTCAATATGTATTACACATGAGGACCTATTAAAGCTCATTTTCTTGCTCCACAGCATGTATTCATGCACTGAAAGGGTGAAGCAGCAAATTTGCTAGCTGGCTGACTGGGAGGACAGAGAGGCCTTTCTCACCAGTCAACGGCTGTCCTTAATGAGAATAGAAAGTGATTTACTAGCTTAATGCTCCAGCCCTCAGCCTGCCTGCCCGCCTTTGCTTTACACAGCCAGTTTAGTCGACACTCTTCATACAGAGAATGAAACTGAGACCAGGGAAACAGGGAAAATAAGGAGGATAGCAAACTCCTGTCTGAAAACTGCAGTAATGAGATGTTCTCATGGATTCTCAGTCCCCGCATCACTGACTTCCTCCAAGCCCTGCATTTTTCTGTCTGTCCTGCTTTTTGCTAAGTTCTCCATGATACTGTGCCATCTGAACAAATCGCAAACTGAATAAATTACATCATTCTGGAATTACTTCCTTTCACTTCATTTTGTTTGGCTAAAAGCTTTTAACAAACATCCCTGTTCCATACTTTCTCTACATCCTGTTACACAGTCACACTTACACCGCGAAGGGGAAATCAAGAGAACATGAATCGCTCACATGATTTGTAAGACTTAAAATGAACAATGAGTAATGCTCCTTTTATACTCATTCTGCTCCTGTTACAAAGTTGTTGTTGGGGTTTTTTGTGACTGGTATAAGACTGGTGTACTCTGCTATTATGTTCCCTATGATTATCCAATCAGCAATGCTGTATTCAAGACCACTTTTAAATCACAGGCTTTCACTGAGAATCAGATGACCTGTCAGAAACCAGTTATCCACGGATGTGTGAATAAACAGAAAAAAGTGGGATGTTTTGGATCCCCTAAAATCTGCAATGACTAAATGTAGACAACGACACAAACTCTAGGCTAGTGCTTTATCCAGTTAAAGTTATACCGTCTTGCAAAGCACGTGTGTTATGAGCTCAAGTGAGAATACCAATTTCATGCATATTTGCAGGGCCAAATTGCATTCCTTGATTGGGAAAGCATACTTAGGGTATGCATGAAATTTAAAATTATGTTTTACCATGAAATAGGAAAGTCAGACAGAAAGGAGGATGAAACAAGAATGAGGGATGGCAGAATAACTTGAGAGTGTCACTTAAAATCGAGTGGCACGGCTTGCGTTTACATACCGTAGTTTTTAAGTTGAGTAGGGAAAGCGAAAAGCGTGTTCTTCATACCTGGACTGGTGGGGATTTTTTTTGGGGGGGGGGAAACACGCCACAAAATTCAAACAGAGTAGAGCAGGTGATTTAACGCCGGGGACAAAATGTGTATAAGCGCGTGATTTGTTTTTATTTGTATCTTTCTGAAATATAGCTGTGTGCACAGCCTATGCGCACAAACGTGCAGCCAAACAGACCGGTTATCGCCATGGAGGGCAAACACAGAACTACAACAGTGTTCTTACCGAGTGTGAAGTAGGGAAGAGCCGTGTTGTCAAGATCATCCATTACGGAAATTCGCCCAGGTAGGTCTGTTCTAACGAATAATAGAAGTCTGGATTCCCCCCCTCCTCCTGCTCCTCCTCCTCCAGTTCCTCCTCCAGTTCCTCCTCCACCAACACCACCTGCTTCAGCAGCACCCCCTCCTCCGACCACGTTCCCCGAGGCTCCGCCGGTGAAGCTGAATTCGTTCTCCCGGAGTACGGGCAGGGTTGAAACGGTGACGGTTTTCACCTCACATGGCGTCTCCGTGTCGCTCTCCCTGTCCCTTTCCTCGTCAGGCGATGTCGCCCCTCTGTTTGCCTGGACAGTCAAGGAGCCTGTTAATAACAGACCCACGAGAAGGACGCGAAGGTGCAGCACTAATATCCTCGCCATCCCGCTCCTTGTGTGTGGTTCTCTCGCTTTGTGGGGCTCATAAGCTGTCCGTTCACTTATAGTACAGTCGCTGCAAAGGAGTCGCGTCCGTCCAGGAGGCGGCAGTACAGGTGTAGTGAGAATGACATCTTTCGGCTCCTTACAGATCCATTTGTGCTCACACGGGGACAACAGATTGCTTACACTTGGATAAACACGTGTCTTTTAAAAGACAGACACGAGGTAGAGGTATCTTGTTATTAGTGCAGGTTCGTGTTTAAACAAACACGAGCAGTAGATGAGTCTTCTTCTGAGTTCACAATAAAGTGTTAAACAACAAATAAAAAAAATAATACTTTTTTTTTTCAATATAGCTTTATATGAGTTGAACGTGAGGACAGAGCTGCTATCCCGTCTAAACAAACAATTTATAGCTGAACATCTGTCCAGTTTGTTCTCCATGCAGGCAGTGTAAAGACAGCTCTACTGGTACTCGAAAACAAAGTACAGTTGACCGGAAAGATTACGGTTAAAGCCTAAAGTGCATTCACCACAGAGTGAAATATCCACACTTAAAATAAAAGTTGCATTCCAGATATAAAAAAAAGTTACACAGAAAATGTTTAAAGAGAGGCTATTGACTTTCTTTTACTTACTGATTAAAAGTTTGTTTTTATTATATAATGTAGTACACCCCGTGTTCTCACTTGTTTAATGTTGTTGTTTATTTTTAACTTTATGATTAAAACAACAACTCTTAGGAGTTTCTTCTTTTTCTTTTATGTCTTTTTCTGTATTTGGCTTAGAGATGGACAGAGTCTTTGAGCTCTGTCCGTGGTGCTGACTTGGTCAACCCTGTCCTGCTTGTCAGTGTGATATCACATAGTAATATTGCAAACACTATAAACCTAAATAATGCAACTGAGCAGTTGAAACCTAATTATTTAGAGTTTATTTGACATTTTGTCCTTGAGCATTAAATAATCTCAATTTGAAAAGTTAATTTCATTTAAGAGTACTTAATTTTGCGCCTGTTCAAAGTTCACCTACTGATATTGTGTTTATTTACCTTCATTTTACAATAATAGGGCTCTAAGATCATGAGTGATGTGCCTTTTTGACACACACAGTGTTAGCACATTTAGGAGTGTGAATAGTGATGCTTGCTGTAAGAAAAGGTAAATCTGAATGAGTTAGCATTCCTGGTGCTCATCAGTAGTAGATAATCGTTTATCATTATTTTTAAGTGAGACAAGAATAATGAATATTGACTGCAGTGTTTTTTGTTTAAAAAACGAAATTACTCATGTTTGCTAAAACTAATGCAATTACAATGATAAATGGCTTTTATGTGCTTAAAAATCAAATGAACAAGAGATTAAGTCATACAACTGAATATTTCTGAATTGATTTAAGTAGTATGTATAGCATACTAGCATTCAAAGAAACAGCAAAACCTCTGAACACATTTCACTTTCACAAACATTTTCCTTCATTTTGAGATCTGTCAGTGCTGCACAGTTTTCCTAAACAAATTACATTACATGAAATAAATGACACTTATTACATGAAATAAATGACATTTTGCAATGCACAGGTAATTATAGATGACTTGTTACTTTTTACACCTGTTCAACTCCTCACTCATGTAGATATCTAATCAACCACTCACTGTATGTTACGATAACCTTGCTAAAGTTCAAACCAGGCATCAAGATGGGGAAGGAAGATGATTTAATTGATTTTGATGTCTGCTGTTGGTGACAGACAGGCTGGTTTTAGCATTTCAGAAACTGTTCTTCTGGGATTTCCCCACACAACCATCTCTCAGGTTTACAACAAATGGTCCAAAAAAGAGAAAACATCCAGTGAGCAGCAGTTCTCTGGGTGAAGATGCCTTGTAGATGACAGAAGTCTGGGGAAAATGACTTGAGCTGACAAGAAGGCAACAGTAACTCAAATAATCACTTAAAGGGAAGACTGGAAAACTGTTGCCTAGTTTCACACGTCTTGATTTCTGCTGCAACATTCGAATGGCAGGGTCAGAATTCTGGCATAAAGAACATAAAAGCATGGATCCATCCTGCCTTGTATCAGAGGTTCAAGCTGCACATGGTGGTATAATAGTGTGGAGGATATTTTCTTGGAACATTTTGGGCCACTTAGTACAAACTGAGCATCACTGAAAAAACACTACAGCTTATCTGAGTATTGTTGCTGGCCATGTCTGTTCCTTTCTGACCACAGTGTACCCATCTTCTGATAGCTGCTTCCAGCAGGATGCTGCAGCACGTCAAAAAGCTCAAATGATCTCAGACTGGTTTCTTGAACATGAGAGAATCACTGTATTCAAATGGTCTGCCCAGTCTCCAGACATCAATCCGATGTAAGATGCACCACTAAGATGCGATAAAATGGGATGTCAGTGTCATAACTATGGAGCAAAAAAATCTGTAGCAACTGTGCGATGCTATTATATCATTATGGACCAAAGATTTTCTAACCAGCTGTGTAATCCTTCATGTTAGTTTTCCAAACTCTTCCTGAGGTTTCCTCAACACTGTGAAAAATATGATTTCTTTTTTCATTTATCTTTCAGCTTTAAGCTACAACTCCAACAACTCTTTCATTTGTTTTTTGTAGAGCATTGTGGGGATCAGCATGGCATGCATGGTCTTTAAGAAGCTGCTGCTTTTGTCATTATGTAGTGTCACTTTTCTCACTTTTCTGGTGTTACAGTAATGTGGAGAAAGCATCCAGTGACACCTTTTGCTTTGTTTCTCTCCATGGACCAAACATAGAGCACAAAACACAGTCTTTTTGTTTTCTTTCTTTATCTATAATTTTCAGTCACAATGTCTGCTTCAGTACCAACATTTGCACTCATGTCTGCACATGTGCGTATTCACACAATAGCTGGTAAGAAGGGCCATGTTTGCAACTTCTTTTACAGACCACTCGTGACTGCAGACACTTTGTGAGACACATGCATATTGTATCATTTTCATGTATGCCACTAACTGTGACACTCAAGCACCAGTTACCTTAATGTGTTTCCTCTCTCCTCCTGACTGAACGCAGCTTAACCCTAGTCAAACTGAGCAGAAGTGGTTGCAAATTAACATATGTTTTTCAAAGGAGCTATCCTTGTGTGTATTGTTTCAACTGCATACAGCAGAAGGACAGCTGCAAGTTTTCTTGTGCCGCATCAAGTGTCCAGAACACAAGGACAATTCCAAGTGTGCTCTACTGGGTAACTTTGAAATGTCACCTGTGCTCATTTTTAGCAATTCAGTTCAATTCAGTTTTATTTATATAGTGCCAAATCACAACAACAGTCGCCTCAAAATGCTTGTTTTGTACGGTAAAGACTCCACAGGAAGACAGGGAAAACCCCAACATTCAAACAACCCACTATGAACAAGGACATAGTTCACTTTGTATGCATAGTAAGCCTATGAGTATGGCACATTCACTCCAAGCAAACCAGTAGAAAATCTAGCAACCAATTTATTTATATAATTTAATTCAATTTAATGTAGACTTGTCCCATACATGAAGCAGTAGTCAGAGTTGTTGACTTTATAGTGTATCCCATAATTGTGTATCCAGTATCTCCTGCACCATTATTATTTAAACATATTACAGATGCAAATACCAGTAAGCTGAAATCAAAACATTTCTTAGCATATCCTCATTAGAGACACTGGTATAGACAGAAGTTACACTTCTAAACTAATATCACGCAATTGTAAACATTTATGTTCTTATTAAATGTACCTATTAAATAGCCACAGTGCTGGTGGAAAAGTCTGTGAACTGCTGGTTTGGTAAATGGTAAGCCCTTGTAGCAACTTAAAACAATGTACAATGTTCAAGAGAAATGTGGTCAGCTTCTTTCTTACAGTGTGACTTTAGCTTGGCCACATGAATGACCTAAAGGTCAACCCAGGTTGTGTTAGTGTCTGGGCTTTTTAAAGTCATTCTTATTTACTATAGTGATTAATGTCCTCGTCATGCTGCAACAAACAAATAATACAGAGGTTCAGCTGGGGGGCAGACAGTCTGACATCATCCTGTATGATGTCTTGATAAACTTGTGATTTAATTTTACCCTAGATGACGGCAAACTGTCCATGCCCAGAGGCAAGCAGCTCTAAATGGGTGATGTTTTCAAGCTGCTGTCCAGCATTCAGCCTCAGTTTCATCAGTCCATTAAAACAGTTTCCCTTTAGTGTAGAGTCTGTGTCCTGGCACTGACATGCTACAACACTACTGGGACTGTATTGTTTTTTATTCAGTAACGTATAGTTGGTGCTACCTACCTACCTACCTACCTATCTATCTATCTATCTATCTATCTATCTGGGGCTCACATGCTTTTTCCAACTTCAATTGGGAATATCTGAATGATATATTTATTAAGCACAAAATAGCTGTAACTTATATGACCAAAAGTCTTAATGCATAAACATTTAAAATTAAATCATATTAGCAAGGGCTTGCAGTGTATGACTTTTAGCAATAATGAATAACAACACTTAATGCTGCCCGGTGTCTCCCAAAGCTGTAGAAATGCAATACAAAACTAAAAACTCCTACTTATCCAGCCAGTTTTAATTGTAATGTTGACCCCTGTGTCTTCTGTTCTGGCAATGCTGGAACAATTACACAGATTACACAGATTATTCATGCATAAACACCACAAAACCTCTTCCCAACCAAAAATTGGATTATTACTTGTTTAAACCCGTTTAACTCTTTCAGCTGATCCTGCAATGTGTTGACCTTAGTAACTAAGTAATGCCTGGTTCATTCTTCCACTGTTTATTTTATTAATCTGTATTTATTATTATTTAGTCAGTTTGTTTGAGAATTATGCTCATTGTGGGGGACAATACTCAGTACTTCTGCTAAGATTTGGAAGCAAATCTAAAATTAACTGTGCAACATTGGTGTTGCAGTTTATTATGTGGGCAGGAGCTGACATACATGTCTAAGTCAACTAAACAGAAAAATAA